GGTGCCGGACGAGAGCCATTTGGAGCAGCGGGGGCGCTGGGCCAAGGCAAGCTGCGCTCTTTAAACAAGGGAGGAAATGACCGTATATACAGCATGCCAGCGCTCTCTCTTGCTCTCTCTCTCTTGCTCTCTCTCGCGCACACTCTCTCACATATACACAGAGACAGAGAGAGAGAGCAAAAGGAAGTCAAGCAGGAGGAGGGGGTGTGTGATGGTTTCATGACACAGAGCTGGGATGTCAGCGGCTAAAAGGTCAATATTTTCCCTTAACACCCTTTGCTCAATGACTTAATCGTGTTCCGTTTGCACAAAATCTGCTTCCCAAGAAGAAAAAGCCTGGAGGGAGGGAGGGGTGGGGAGGAGGAGGAGGAGGGCAGCAAGAGGAGGAGGAGGAGGAGGTGGTGCCGTGGCCCGGCCCTGACCTTGTCCGAGGATTCCTCCACGTAGCAGGGCTCCTGAGGGGCTACCAACAGCGGGACGAAGCCGGAGAGCAGGCGGTCCTCCTCCAGGCTCAGCAAGACCAGGTCCTCGTCCGGGTCCTTGTACAGGGGCACCTCCGACTGGTTCACCGCCGTCAGGATGTTGCAGAAGTCGGCCAGCGTGGCCCACACGTCCACGGAGACCCTGGGGCAAAGGGAGTGGGGGGGGGAAAGGGGACAAGAAGGGACAGCTTAGGGCCCCAGAATCTCCAAAAGCCCTCAAGGGACGCCTGGCCGACTTCTGACGCCCCTTTGTCAGGACTTCAGATTCAATGCCCGCAGGATTCTATTTATTGTAGAATGTAGACATTTCTGGATGTCCCAGAAATAAACAAATAATCTGGCAGCTGGCAGCACACCTCCAGGCCCTCTCCCCCCAGCCTTTTTTTGCCACTTCCTTCCAACCGCAGTTTTATCCGTGTCACCTGTGTGTGTGTGTGTATGTGTGTGTGAGTGTGTGTGTTTAAGGCAGACTGAGAACACGCTGTCCTTCCCAAGGTGTGACTGGGGCTGCTGAGTGGCCAGGGAGCAGAAAGCATTTAAGCAAAAATACCTTAGATCTTACGTCTGAGGAAGTGGACTTGTCCACAAAAGCTCACATTAAAAAACGTAAAAGTTAGTCTTTAAGGTGCCCCCACGTTTTTGCCTTTTTTAAAAAAAAAACTTTTTATTTAGTTTCCACCTATAACGCCTCCAGTTCAAGGGGTCAGGAGCAAGCTTTCCCACTGGTTGGTTTACGTTCTGGTTTGTCTCTTTTCTAATTTTTTTGCTTGCCTTTGTTTCATTATTAACCTCAGCCCTTTTGCGGGAGGGGAGGAAGGCAAGGCCCTTCACACACACATTAAACACAGCAATGGACACTCTTCCTCGGCCCTCCAACTGCCTGACCAAATAAAAAAAAAGTTATAAATTTGGGGCAGTTCAGCTGGGTTGGTGGTTGGTAAGGGGAGATAGATGAGAGGTGTCTAAAATAACGCAGATGATTTCCCTCCCCTTTCTCTTTCATCGTACAAGCCCACCACGCTGAGCGGTGGGAGACTCCAGAGAGATCAGAGGCAAGGTGGCTTCATCCAGCATGGAGATGGAGGAACTCACTGCCACAAGATGTCGCGACAGCTGCCAACTTAGGCAGCTTCACGAGCGTGCTGGTTAAATTCCCAGAGGTCTTATGCCGTCTCCAGGACGAGAGGCGGGGCGCTTCTCTCTGTGACTTTTTTGTGCCCCAGAATTGCTCTGACGAGAAGCAACGCCCCACCGAGCCGAGGTTGGTTTCACTTCTGGCCACAACTTCACTCTCAAGCTCACCTTGGCGAGGAGGCGTGCCGTGCGTGCGTGCACAAGTGTCACCTCGCGGGCCCACAGGGCTGAGAGTGAGAACGCAGAGGGTGCCACTTCCTCCCCCTTCAGAGTTGCAAAGAGGTGAAACCTGGAAGGGCCCCCGAAAGGAGCCCTTTCGAAATCTCAGAACCTCAGAACAAATTCCACCTTCGCCTGCGCCCCTCTGAGTGCCAGGCGGGCAGAGAGAGCCCAGGACCCCTGCGCCTCGTGCCCCATGCCAGAGATACCCTCGAGGAAGGGGACCTGGGGAGCGGGCAAAGGGAAGGGGAACCCAGCTAGGCTCAGATTCCCTGGGAGGACCCCAAGGCCTGAAGGTACGACAAGAAAGGGGGCACAAACAGGGAGAGGGGGGCTCCTACCATGCCTCCCCCCTCCCATGACCTCTTCCCCCTCCCCATCCCAAGCAAGTGGCTCCAGGTGGACAATCTGTACTCATTTATTTGCTGGAATCAACCTCCGAGCTGGGGCGAACAGGAGGGGGGGGGCGTCAGCGGGTGTAGGAAGCACAGCCATGAAACGAAACATCTTGTTTTCAAGAGCGTCCTGGGAGCCGGGAGGAATGAGCGGCCATTAATCACAGCCCCGGCACACCACCAGCCCTCTCTCGCCTGCGCCACAACCGCTGGCCGGCCGACCCACCCGCCAGAAGGAAGGAAGGAAGGAAGGGAAGGAGGGAGGGAGGGAGGCCAGGAGGGGCCCCGGGGCCCTCGGCCAGCCGGCCCAAAGCTGTCCAGGGCTGCAGGCTGAGCGCTCCCCTTGTCCCGAGAGCAGGCTCTGGCTGTCAGAAGCATTTAAGGGTGGAGAAAAGCACACAAGGCAGGGAACGGAGGGGAGCAGGGGCTGCACCGGTGGGTGCCCGGGGGTCCCCGTGATGTAATGGGAACGGCTTAGCCCTGCTCGACCAGCGTGAAGATCAACAGAGAAGAGAGAGACAGAGAGCTTCCCAATAAGGGTTAAAAGAGAGTGAACTTCCTACGACCCACTGCTGCTGCTGCTGCTGCCACCATCGCCATCATCTGTCAGTCCATCCGCACTGGAGGGAAATGACAGAGGCAGGGCCCCTATCCGCCGCTGCCCCCCCCATGCCTCCGGCCACAGTCCTCGGCCTTCTAGCCTTGGGGCCCGGCTGCAGAGAGAAGAGCCTGGCTCTGGGCCATCCAGGATGACAAGGATGGGGGGGCAAGCAGGGGGGCCTCCTTGAGAGGGTGCTGGGGGTGCCCCTGGCTCTCTAGGAAGGTGTGGGGTGGGAAGAGTTGGAGGCTGCCCTCCAACCAGGCACGGTGGCTGGATTTCACCTCCCTCTGTGGGTGAGCCTCAGGGCTCCCCTCGGCCAGGCTGACCCAGAAAGGCGGATGGGGGGGGGCCTCCAAGAGAAAGGAATCAGGGAAAGGGCAGAAAAGGCTGGTTGCAGAGACCTAAACCTATGTGCGGAGCAAGACTCATGGTGCGTACGTGCATGTATGCATCTGTTGAGTCTGTGGGGAGCACAAGCCAGGCCCGGGGCCTTCTCCTACACCAGCACGCGGCCACCACCGAAAACAGCATGACCCCCCCATGTTCCTGGCTTGTGGGGCCCCCACAAAGGTGGCCATTTCCTGTGTAATACCAGCTTGTTTAAACATCTGTTTAAACACACACACACACACACAGACCCTCACCACCGCCAGCAGCAGCTGCACAGCAAACCCGGAAAGTGCCCTGTGGAAACAGCCCTGCGCTGCGGTCCAGATGGCAAACCGCTCGGGCCCTTTTGCTCTCCCTCTCTGGGAGGGAGGGAGGGAGGGAGATGCATCCGCCTCCGTCTCCTCTGACAACCTCTTGTCCCTGTGCTCCCCCCCCCCGGCGCCCACACAGACTTTGAACAACCCACCCCGATGGCCTGGACAGGGAGGGTGGGTCTACCTAGCCCTTTCCACCCCCCCTTCCTCACTGGGACAAGAAGGAGGGTGGAGGATTCTGGAGGCGCTCTCGGGCGGTGGCCCCGTGGACGTGGGAGGCCAAGAGAGGAGTGAACATGGGGGAAAGAAAGGTCAGCAACATAAGCCAGGCAGACAGAGAAGTCTGGCTGGTTCGAAAGGACCACCGAAGAAGGAAGTGCAAGAGCGGGACTACAGTGGAAGGTTAAGAAGGCGGAAAGAATGGCTTCCGCCGGGTAACGGCTGACGATTCAAAAACTGAGATTACTGAAGGTGTTTCAGCTGTCAATCCAAATGGCCAAGAACTCAGAAGAAGGCTGGGATTTCGAAGGGGGAGCAATTCTCAAGGGTGAGGATGTGCCCCCGGAGACCGAGGTCAAGATCCGTCTCCACTGTGGTCTCCCTGGGGTACTGCGGACGTTGTCCAGCGAAGAAAACCGACAGGGCAAAAGCGACGACAATTCTCCCTAGGTATAGGAGAGGAAAGCTGCACAGGCACCCGGGACCGCCAGAGAGACCCACACATGGATCGCGGATCAATCTGTTTCGCTAGAAGGGAAAAAGACGTCGCCGAGGCTATCGCGCTTCGGGAAGATCCCAAGAAGACAGGATTCCCTGGAGAAGAGACCCGTGCTATGACACATGGAAGGCAGCAGGAAAAGAGGAAGCCGGGCCGTAAGATGGACTGACTCCGTAAAGGACGCCATGGTTTTTCCTCGGCGAGACCTGCGCCGGACTCCTCCACGACAGGATCGCTCGGGGGGGGGGGGAAATCGTTAACTCACAGAACTGCCATAAAGCGGAAGCAACTGGGTGGCCCTGAAAGGCAGCCACCTCTGGAGACATGGGGGGGTTTTCCTCTTTTTCCATGCCCCCCCGGGGGGGCTGTCCAGAGGGGGCAGCCCTGAACGAGATGGAACAAAATTCTAAGATGGGAGGAGAGGGGCTCCTTATGCCGCCGACCAGCTTCCTTCCTCCTCCTCCTCCTCGGGTGACGAGGCAGGTACGTGCTTGAGAGACCAGCTTCGGAGTGGAGGAATCCACGCATGTAAACCACAAGGTTCAGGGACTGAGAGGAGGAGGAGGAAGAGAATCTGGAAGAGGTCCTAAAGCCCCATCTCCCCCACTCCTCCCTCCCCCCCCCAAAAAAACACAAACCAAAGGTTCACCCTCTGGCCCGACTCCCTTCCGGTCCTGCTGGATCCTTGCAAGAGGGGCTCAGGGACTGGAAACATGCTCTAAAAAGGGGGTGAGAGTGTCTTTCAAGAAGAGGCGCCTTTCCAGGTGTGCGTGCGTGACCATTGCGCACGTGGGGGGGGGAGAAGAAGGGCTCTAGGCATTTTTTTTTTAACTGAATGCCACTGTTTAGGGCCAGGAACCTGGGTTGATGCCTGCATGTCAAGAAAGAAGGGAAGTGGAATCCCACAGCGAGGGCCGAGGGGCTCCAAGGCCACGTGGAAGGAGGGCACTCGCACCGTCTTCCTTCGGGGAAGAACGAACCACCACACACACCAACCCTCCTGTGCACGTCAGAGCCAATGGGGTGTTGGGGGTGCTGCCCTTTCTTACTGGGAGGGGGGGAAAGAGGTGAGAACAGCTTCTCACGCTTGGCTAACCTAAGTGCCCCCCCCAATCACGTAAGGCTTCCTTCCGAGCCCTTAGGAAATGCCGGCACCCTCCCCAAGCCCCCAAAAATCCTGCACGCACCCCACAGCTGGCGTGTGTGTGTGCACGGGACAAAGAGAGAGAGAAAGCAATGCCACATCCTTCCTCTCCTCTCCCACCAACCCCCCCTCCCCACGGCCAACCCTGCCGGTGGTGAGAGAGGGGGCCCCCCCTCCTGTTTCCCCTTGGACGACTCTGAAAAATCCAGGCGGGTGATAAATGCGTCCCTGGGCCAATTAGGAAGATATATAGCATCGGAGTGGCGGAGGAGGCCGGGAGGAAGGAGGGCCCGGGCAGAGGCAACGGCAGCAGCCTAGCCAGGCAGCGGAAAAGCCAAGCGCTCGCTCTCTCTCTGGAGCCCCAGCGATGTTTCCCATTATGTAACCCTGGTCATGGGCAGGCCGCCAGCCTCAAATGAGAAAGAGACTCTGGCTTGGCACCCGTTCTATTTTCCTATCCTCGCTCAGGGTCAGCCGAGTGTCATACAGCTGCAGAGAAAGCTCCGGGGATTCAACCTGGGAACGGCTCCAAGGCCCCGAGACCGGGGTTCAAGTACCAGCTGAAAGCAATAAACCCAACCAGGGCCGAGCTCAGCCGCGGCGGCGGAGGCAGCGGCAACGGCAGCAACGGCCACGGCAGCTGGGCGGCGTTTTGAGCCGGCCTCGGAGACGGCGAGGGGTCCCTGGGAACCGAGCCGCAGGGGCGGCAGGGGAGTCCGACCA